CCCAGAAGACTAACAAAGATGAAGGGATGAGATGGCCAGGAGGGTATGGGTGGCCAGGGTTAAGGGTGCAATAAGCGGCCCCAGAGCATGACCCAAGGTGACTGGCCCCACACAGACCTTCACTGGTCTGTACCAAACTGGTGAAGCTGACCACCCCTAATTTCTTCTCCCTGATTTCCTGCCTTCACTCCCAAGAGGCTCAGGGGATGTTGACTCCAAGTCCTGAGCTATAGAGGAAAGGATGAGAAAAGGATCTGGAGACCTTGAACCTCTTGCCCCAAGACCAAGCAATCATGGTCCCCACTCGTCACAACTACCACCGTCATCAAATGCCTTCCTGCACACGGCCTTCCTTTATTACAAGCGTCCATTAAGCTCCCGACACTCAATGTCAAGTGTCACACCAGGTACTGAATTATACAGATGAATAAGTCTGTACTCCCTGCCCACAGGTGCTTATAGACTAGGTGGGGAGACAGATTGAAAAAAGCAACACAGAGGTTACACTCCATGCAGCAAGAGGCCCAAGGCTGCTGTTTCCAGAGCTGCCAGCTCAGCAGGCAGACACAGCACACACACACACAGGCACACACACCAGACCCCATAGTCAGCGTGGCTGTAAGCAGACACACAGACCATAAAGTAATAAAAATATAGCAGATAAAAGAAACGAGTTGTTTGAGTGCCAAAGGTAAGCCTTCTTTTTATGGATATTGCAGGAGGATAAGTAATGAGCTCCCTTGCCCAGAATGGGGTGTGGTAAGAATGAACTTTGGAAAGGGGCAGGGCCTTCGGGGGTGTGAGTTCTAAGCATCTGGCACAACAACTGAAGAGAAAGTAGGAATCGGACCCAAGGGAGGAATAGACCTGAAGCTGCTGTGGATGAGCCAATGGGGCAGGCAGGGGTGCAGGAGAAGCAAAGGCACATCATGCAGAGAACAAGAATGCAGGCCGGGGAGCCAGACAGGCCTGGGTTTCAATCCCAGCCCCACCAACTACCCACCATATGATTTTTATTTATTTATTTTTAGTCTCTGTCACCCAGGCAGGAGTGCAGTGGTACAATCTCGGCTCACCACAACCTCCACGTCCCAGGCCCAAGCTATTCTCCTGCCTCAGCCTCCTGAGTAGCTGGGATTACAAGTATAAGCCACCACTGTATGATTTTCTTTTTTTCTTTTTCTTCTTCTTTTTTTTTTTTTTTGAGACGGAGTTTTGCTCTCGTTGCCCAGGCTGGAGTGCAATGGCATGATCTCAGCTCACTGCAACTTCGGCCCCCTGGGTTCAAGAAATTCTCCTGCCTCAGCCTCCTGAGTAGCTGGGATTACATGCATGCGCCACCATGCCAAGCTAATTTTTGTCTTATTAGTAGAGACGGGGTTTCACTATATGTTGGTCAGGCTGGTCTTGAATTCCTGACCTCAGGTGATCCACTTGTCTCAGCCTCCCAAAGTGCTGGGATTATAGGCGTGAGCCACCTCACCCAGCCCCCTGTATGATTTTCAACACATTACTTAATTAAGCTTTGGCTTCCTTGCCTTTAAAAATCTGGCTAATGATGGTACCCACATTATATGCTAGTTAGAAGAATCAAATTAGATAAGGCTTATAAAACATTTACATCTGCACTGGCACGTGGACATGGTTATCATTTAATAAGCAAGCTAACAACAACAATAGTGGATGACGAGGCAGGCTGCCTACACAATGCCTCAGGGCGCTGTGCTTCCCTGTCCAAAGCTGGCACAGCCCTGATATATCCTCCCTTACCTCTCTACATGTGCTACCCCTCTGCCAGGGTCCCATCTGCTAAGTCAGCAGAGAACTGAGAGACTCATGGTCAGAAACCTCCCATATCCTCTCTCTACCTCCTTCCAGCTGCTAGGAGACCCGACCACTAAAGTCTCCTGAAGCAGACAGAGTCGATGCCCTGGATGCCAGACCAGTTATGTGCTTATCTGCCCACAGTCCGTGAAGTTCCCTGTGGCCTTGGAAATGTGCTGCAACCCACCAAAGGCCCATGCTCCTATACTCTTTGGGAGCACAGAAGCATGGGCCTTTGACAGGTTCTCCCCCAAAGCCTCTGGAGTCAGCAGAGGCAGGTTCTCTCCCAGAGCCTCTGGCTTTGGGGCAGCCTCCCTGGAGTCAGCAGCTGGGCAGAACAGTTCTCGAAAATCCTTCTGCTCCATGTGAGTCACCTTGAGGAGCTGTGGGTGGGGCTGAAGTGCTGGTGGTCCCTTCTTCCATCAACTCACCTGGGCAGGATCTTCCAGACCCGCCCTGTCCTGTTCTGCCCAGCCTGTAAGTTCAAGGAAGACAGACAGATAAACCTTGAGGGCAGGGCAGGGCCTTGCTTTTTGGGATGTCCCAGAGAGCCCCGAGCACATAGTTGGGGCCCGGTTAAGTGTTTGTTTAATCATGGAGGAACCTGAGCAATTCTTACAGCCTGAGTCAGGCTGATTCAAATGGTAGCCAAATGCCCATGAAAGATCCCTGAAAAGGCCCTTAGTTCTGCCCTATAAGCTGTTTTCAGAGCAGTTTTAAAATTCATTCTATAATACTAATGATCGCATATGATATTTCTTTTCTTTCCTTTTTTATTTTGTTTTGTTTTGAGACAGAGTCTCACTCTGTTGCCCAGGCTGGAGTGCAGTGGTGCCATCTTGGCTCACTGCAACCTCCACCTCCCAGGTTCAAGTGATTCTTCTGCCTCAGCCTCCCGAGTGAGTAGCCGAGTAGCTGGACTACAAGCATGCACCACCATGCTGGGATAACTTGTGTATGTGTGTGGGTTTTTTTTTGTTTTTTTTTTGTTTTTTTGTTTTTTTTTTTAGTACAGATGGGGTTTTGCCATGTTGGTCAGCCTGGTCTCGAATTCCTGACCTCAGGTGATCCACCTGCCCTGCCTCAGCATCCGAAAGTGCTGGGATTATAGGTGTAAGCCACCACGCCTAGCCCATATATGCTATTTCATATAGGGAGAGTTTACAAAGCATGAGAAATATATCTACAGTGTGTTGTAAACTGTCAAGAGTTACTAGTATGTTTATTTATTAAAGCCTCTAAACAGAAATATCCTGAGACAGTGTAGCTGTTATCTCCATATTGAGAAACTATGGCTATCAGACAGGTTGTAGAAATGGTCCAGGACCTCACTGGGCAGAATCTAGGTCTTCCCACTGCTGTACCACACTATGCCTTTCAATTGAAAAATCTACTGAGGGCCGGGCGCAGTGGCTCAAGCCTGTAATCCCAGCACTATGGGAGGCCGAGGCGGGTGGATCACGAGGTCAAGAGATCGAGACCATCCTGGTCAATATGGTGAAACCCCGTCTCTACTAAAAATACAAAAACATTAGCTGGGCATGGTGGCACATGCCTGTAATCCCAGCTACTCAGCAGGCTGAGGCAGGAGAATTGCCTGAACCCAGGAGGTGGAGGTTGCGGTGAGCCGAGATCGCGCCATTGCACTCCAGCCTGGGTAACAAAAGCGAAACTCCGTCTCAAAAAAAAAAAAAAGAAAAAAGAAAAATCTACTGAGCCTCAAGTGTTGTGCTGTGGTGAGCCGGAGCTGGGTGGGAAGGAATATTTAGAAGTGGCATACCCAGCTCTGTGAGATCCTGTGGAATCTTCAGCCCACCCTCCCTCCTTACTCTACCCACTTCTTGGACAATCTCAAACCCTCCCTTAGCTTCAGCCACCGCTTGGACCACAGATTAGCCATCTTGTGACTCTCCAAGCTGTATCTCCAGGCCTGACAACTCCCTTGAACTCCAAAATTATAGACCCAAGTGCCTTCTGCACACTTTCCACCTGGGGGTTTCCCAGCATTGCCAAACCAGGTTCAAAGCTAGACCCCCTCCTCCCCAAAACCAACACAGCATCCTGCATCCGACTTGTCTCAGGTAGGGGCTCCCACCCAGTCACCTAGGTGTCATCCTTGGTGTTTCTCTTTTCTACCCAAACAGCTAATCAATTGCCAAGTCCTATCCATTTTCCTCCTAAATATTCCTCAGATCCAGCCCTCCCCCTTCCTCCCCACACCTTGTGTCCCAGCTAAGACTATAATCCCTCAGTGGCAACCTCCTTCCAACCTCCCTGTCCCCAGTCTTATCTCCCATGCATCCATCATCCCAGCAGCCCATCTGTACAGGTTCCTCCCTGCCTCAGACCCCTTCTGCGATTCCTCTGTCTGCAGGGATGAAGCCCAAGTTCCTTAATGAGCCTCCCTTTGAAACGACCTTTCCACCTTTACAACCTCTCTTCTAGCCACTCGCTACCTCAAACCATCTACTGCACAAAGGTTGGCCTACCAGGGAAGCCGGCTTCATCTTGAAATTCTTCATCATTTTGTAACAAGGGGGCGTGCATTTCCATTTTGCACTAAACCTCACAAATTATGTTGCCTGTCCTGCCTGCCTGTTGTTGCCTGCACCCCTCTTGCAGTTTGTGGCCACCTACGTTTTGTCTGTGCAGTCTCCTCCACCTGAATCTCCTCTCCCCACATCACCCGGCTGTCTTCAGCTCTTCCTTTAGACTCGATGTAAGTGTTACCCTTGGGACGTCTCCCTGACCCTCCTCCCTCCCCTTTCCTGCCCTAATCGCCCAACACGTTGCATGCGCTCAATCATGTCTATTAGATAAACTGAATGAGAAGGCAAAGCATGACAAGTGCCACAAGAGACTACACGCCGCTCTAGATGGTGAAGAGACGCAAGGAGGGAAGGCATTTGCAGCGGCCTCCCAGGTCGGCGCTAGGACCCCGCCCGCAGACACCCTAATCCGCGCGGAGAAGACCCGGTGCCTGAGGGGAAGCAACTGTCAGGCTGGGCTCTCGGGCGCCGCCTGTCGCCATTGCACTGCCGCTGCAGCACACCCGCTCCCGCCCCCGGCCCTGAGCCCGCCTCGCGTCTCCCATTGGCTGTCCCCATTCTCCCGCCCCTCCCGAGCTCAGCCATTCGGAGCCTTGGGGTGGGTGGGGCTTGAGGCCGGAGTGGAGCGTAAGCCCTGATTGGCTGTACGGAAGGCGGCTACGTGGCCGAAGAAGGCGGGTCTCTGTCTAAACTGAGGCTCCGCCACAACTCCACAGGATTGGTGGTACGGCGGGGCGGGCCAGAGTCCGCGGCCTGAAGCGGAAGTGGAGAAAAGATGGAGGTGTGGGAACAGGGGCTGGGTGTGCGGGGGACTGGCACCGGACCCCTAACCTGTGTCCCCGGTCTCCCTCCGCGCGCGGCTCAACCCGGCCCATCGCTCTGGCCCCGTTCTGGCCCCTCAGGGTGGCGGTTGGGACCGTGAAGTGAACGCGCGAGTGGCACGTCCTCTTCCCGCGCTCACGTCCCTCTCCTCCCGTCTTCCCGTCAGGAGCATCAGCATGTGCCCATCGACATCCAGACCAGCAAGCTGCTCGGTAGGAGGGGCGTCCCCGCGCAGCTGGCTGTCGGGGGGAGGCCTGTTCGTTGTCCCCTGTGTCCCACGCCCGGGACCCCTGACGCCTGAAAGCCCGGGTTGAGGTGCTGACCACTGGCCTTGTTCTACGCCACCTCTGAGGCCGGAAGTGCTTCCCTGAGAGCAGCGGGAAGGAACCATTTGAGTCTGAGCTGCGTATCCTCCTTTAATGTGTTATCAAATCGCACCATTCAGGGACAGGATGAATGACTCGCTTTAAAAACAAGTCAGGGCCGGGGGCGGTGGCTCACGCCTGTAATCCCAGCACTTTGGGAGGCCGAGGCGGGCGGACCACAAGGTCAAGAGATCGAGACCATCCGGACCAACATGGTGAAACCCCGTCTCTACTAAAAATACAAAAATTAGCTGGGCTACTTTGTGTGTGTGTGTGTGTGGTGGCACGCGCCTGTAGTCCCAGCTACTCGGGAGGCTAAGGCAGGAGAATCGCTTGAACCCGGCGGAGGTTGCGGTGAGCCGAGATCGCACTACTGCACTCCAGCCTGGTGACAGAGCCAGACTCCTTCTCAATAAAAAACGAAAAAAACAGTCAACTACTAAGTGAGTGGCACATCTCAATTGGAACTTAAGTCTGTCTGACCCACTGTCCATTCTGTTTGCCTTATGCCAGAAAAACAAACAAACAAACAAAAAACCCTCATTTAAAAAGCTTCCGACCCGACGTGGTGGTTTATGCCTGTAATCCCAGCACTTTGGGAGGCTGAGGCTAGTGGATCACGACGTCAGGAGTTCAAGACCAGCCTGGCCAAGATGATGAAACCCTGTCTCTACTAAAAATACAAAAATTAGCTGCGTCTGGTGGCGGGCACCTGTAATCCCAGCTACTCAGGAGGCTGAGGCAGAGAAGTGCTGGAACCCGGGAGGCTGAGGTTGCAGTGAGCCGAGATCGTGCCACTGCACTTCAGTCTGAGTGACAGAGCAACACTCCGTCTCAAAAATAAATTTAAAAAAAGAAATAAAAAGCTTCCATGTCCCCCTTGATTTTAGGAGGAAGAGGGACCTAAGACCCAGTTGGAAATAAAAACCTTTTTGTGTCCAGGCCATCTCCAGGTTGTCTGTTTGGGGCCTGCATACCTCCTCCCCAGTTCAGATTCAAGGAAGCCCTCTTCGTGTGATCACACAGCTCCTGGCATTTTAAAATGCTTATTGGATTAATGAATTTGATGCCAGTCTTGTCCTTAAGATGGTGTCTGTTTGACTACCCCAGTCCGTTGCTTCTAGTTCTATGACATCAACAGAATTTTTCTGAAAACTTATAGGACTACAGCAGAGGGAGTATAACTGATACTAATGTGAGACCCCAGTGTTTGACCGGTTGAGGGAGTTTAGGTTCTGTATTCACCACTCTAGGGCCATTTAGTCAGTCCTGCTTAGTGGCCACTAGGGGAGCTTCTTTAGGCTCGCTTCGGATTTGTACCAGCCCTTCAGCCTGTGTGCCATCTTGGTGTGTGAGCTTGTTCTTGGTCATGAAAAAGGACCAATAATATGACAACCATTCGTTGAGGGTTTGTTTTGTGCCAGGTGCCATTTTAGGCACTTGACATTATTAAAATCACTATGATTTTATTTATTTATTTATTTTTTAGAGACAGGGTTTCACCATGTTAGCCAGGATGGTCTTGATCTCTTGACCTTGTGATCCACCTGCCTCAGCATCCCAAAGTGCTGGAATTACAGGCGTGAGCCACCGTGCCCGGCCTAAAATCACTATGATTTTTTTGAGTCCTTGCCATGTGCCAGGCTCACTGTTCAGTGTTTTACCTGCATTCCCTTTTCTGGTCAGTGTCTTATTATTCCCCATTTTACGTGTAGAGAAACTGAAGCACAGAATAGTAGAAAGACTTGCTCAAAAACTTGATAATGAGAACCCAGGACCATCTGACCACAAAGCTCAGCTCTTAGCCCTCACTAAGGAAATATGCATGGCTCTGAAGCCACAAATCTGGGCCCAGACTTTTAGAGGTGGTCCGATTGGTATTCATGTGTACAGGGTGGTAGTTCACTGTTCAGAATAGAGTCAGGTTATCTAGTCCTTAGGGCACTGTAGGTATTAGGGGCTTTGCAGCTGTTCATTCATCCGGTACTTGGCATAACCATCTTGTATTTTCCATTGTCATGGCTAATCCCAGCCCTGAGGAAGTGGAAGTTGAGCAGCATCCTCTGTCAGGAAGAAAGATATAATTACGCATAGAAGCAAAAATATTATGGGGAATTCAGAATGGTCAAAAGTGGCACTTTCATGTCAAGACCAATTTAAAGTTTTTGTTATCCCTGTGTTGAGGCAATTACTCCATAAAAATCACACTGCTGCCGGGCGCGGTGGCTCAAGCCTGTAATCCCAGCACTTTGGGAGGCCAAGGCGGGTGGATCACGAGGTCAAGAGATCGAGACCATCCTGGTTAACATAGTGAAACCCCGTCTCTACTAAAAATACAAAAAATTAGCTGGGCATGGTGGTGCGTGCCTGTAATCCCAGCTGCTCAGGAGGCTGAAGCAGGAAAATTGCCTGAACCAGGAGATAGAGGTTGCGGTGAGCTGAGATCACACCATTGTACTCCAGCCTGGGTAACGAGTGAAACTCCGTCTCAAAAAAAAAAAAAAAAAATCACACTGCTAATGAAGTCAGATTGTCAGAGCCTGTTTAGCCCCAGTCATCTCTTTGTGCTTGTCTTTATTCCCATCTTCCTATGACCTCCATACTTTAACCAATATAAAGACAACTTTAGACTGTGTATTTCACTTGAATCAGTGATGGAATTTTGGTGATGTGAATGGGAATGCTTTAATGTGGGTGTTTCTCATGTAGATTGGCTGGTGGACAGAAGACACTGCAGCCTGAAATGGCAGAGTCTGGTGCTGACGATCCGAGAGAAGATCAATGCTGCCATCCAGGACATGCCAGAGAGTGAAGAGATTGCCCAGCTGCTGTCTGGGTCCTGTGAGTGCTTAGGGACTATCACTGAAGTCCTCTCTTTACTGACGTAGTATGTATCAGCTGAACTACTCCCTTGTTATTTAGCCACCAGGGCTGGCATTTAGAGAGAGAGCAATTTTTATTTGAGATGTAGTTGCTGGCTTCTTCCACCATGAAATGATGAAAGGAAAAGCGATACACTAAAGTTACTGGCAGTATATTACACATGAATCAACTACCAGCAGTGGCCAGAGTAGGTGAGGAAGATACTGTAGTTCTCAAAGTCCTGTCTCTTGCTTTCCAGACATTCACTACTTTCACTGCCTAAGAATCGTGGACCTTCTAAAAGGCACAGAGGCCTCAACGAAAAATATTTTTGGCCGATATTCTTCCCAGCGGATGAAGGCAAGCAAATATGGGCCAAGGGCTGTTAGTATGTGGCTGGGGACATCCAGTCCAAGGAGTCATAGCCCCTGTGGTCTCTCTCAGGCTCCAGTGGAGATGCCTACATACAATATTTTCCGAACTTTTGCTCTGTCTCTATAGTTTATTCCAAAAGTAGATCCTCTCCCTGAATTTAATTTTCAGACCCATTGCTTTGGGGATCACCTGCACTCTTAAAGTGGTTGGTCCAGCTCGCAGTATAAGTTGAAAGAAGGACAAGGAATTTGTGTTTAATGTGATGTGAAAGCTGGGAGAACTTCCCCTGTTTACGGATTGAGCTGGGATGTGGCTGTTGAGTGCTTTTCTGGCTTAACATCCTCTTTCTGTTCTTACTCAGGATTGGCAGGAGATCATAGCCCTATATGAGAAGGACAACACCTATTTAGGTAAAGTGGCCCAGGCTGAGAGCCCTGGTATCTGTGGGGAAGCCCACTCCCAGAGTCCTGAGATACCAGGTTTATAGGAGGCACAGTCTGTGAGTGGGAAGAAACTGGAGTGTAGATGTTGCCTATTTGTAGGTGGTAAAATCAATTGGTTTTGATGGAATTGATTTTCCCACCCACAGATTGATTTTCCACTAGGTGGAATGCTGGGGGAAGAAGGAGGCCAGTAGTGGGCATTAGACATGCCTCAGCAAGCAGGTGTGTGTGGGTCCTCCACCACTCACCTCTTGTTAAGGGGGAGTGTGCAGCCCCCCCCACCCCCACCCCCATTCTACATAAGGCAGAAAAGGCACAGGTTCTCCTGGGAGCAATATCAAATGCCTAACTTGTGTTTGGGTTGGGTTTAGTATAAATAATAATAATGGCTAATACTTACTGAGCACCTACTAAATGCAAGGAATTGTGTTTGGTCTATCATGTGGATTCTCTTTTGCATTTTCACAATAAATGTTATTGTCACTGTTTTACAGATCAATGTTGGATTAGAGGGGTTAAATAACTTGTCTTAGGCTCCACAGCTGGTAACAGGAGGGGCTGGGAAGCTAACATCATGCTCACCACCACCACAAAGGGTGTGTGTGTATCCTGGGACATGTCTACCTCACGTGAGGGTGTCCTGGGCTGAATTTCCTTGGCCCTTCTCAGTGGAACTCTCTAGCCTCCTGGTTCGGAATGTCAACTATGAGATCCCCTCACTGAAGAAGCAGATTGCCAAGTGCCAGCAGCTGCAGCAGGAATACAGCCGCAAGGAGGAGGAGTGCCAGGCAGGGGCTGCCGAGATGCGGGAGCAGTTCTACCACTCCTGCAAGCAGTATGGCATCACGGTGAGCAGTGGTGACCTCTTTGCAGCCAGAGGACACCTGGGCCCCTGTCTGTCTTCCTCTGACCTCGTCTGATCCCCAATGCTGATCCCTAGTTGTGCCTCCTCTGGGCCAGGGTCTCACTTTTTTCTGGTCTTTGGATGTTTTCTTCAGTCTGTTGGACTCTGCCTCTCACCACTTCTGTCTCAGTTCCCCTCTTCTTCCCTTTCTAGGGTGAAAATGTCCGAGGAGAATTGCTGGCCTTGGTGAAGGACCTGCCAAGTCAGCTGGCTAAGACTGGGGCAGCAGCTCAGTCCCTGGGGGAAGCCATAGACCTGTACCAGGCCTCTGTGGGGTTTGTGTGTGAGAGGTAAAGAGGCCTCAGCTTCTCCTGGTGGGGTCATTTTGCCTGTGTTCCCCAGCTCATGTCTCTTCTCCACTTGTCTTTTTCCCGTATAACATTTGAACTTTTTATATACACCTGAACCTGTGGGGGCCTTGCCCATTTGACCATGTGACCCAGGCCAAAGCCTAATGTTGGCCTCATGCATGGTCGGCAGGAGAGTTAGTTGTGTGCTCTGTTGAAGCCCCACAGAGCAGGTGTTGCCAATGCTGCGGTTCGTGCAGAAGCGGGGAAACTCAACGGTGTATGAGTGGAGGACAGGGACAGAGCCCTCTGTGGTAGAGCGACCCCACCTTGAGGAGCCTCCTGAGCAGGTGGCAGAAGATGCGGTAAGATGGGCCTTGTGATGAGCTGTGGGAGAGGAGTGGGACCTACTTGTCTCTTCCCCACCCCCAACAGCCCAACCCAAGACCTGGTTTCAGAGTCCCAGAGGGAAGAAAGGGGGATTTGTGTGAGAGTAACTGTAGGTAGAAGGGTCCAGGAGGCCCTACTCCCTTATTTTTATTTTTCTGAGTATGTATTTTTATTTTTCTGTTTTCTTTTTTTTTTGGAGACAGCCTCTCGCTCTGTTGCCCAGGCTGGAGTACAGTGGCACAATCTCGGCCCACTGTAACCTCTGCCTCCCAGATTCAACTGATTCTCCTGTCTCAGCCTCCTGAGTAGCTGGGATTATAGGCTCATGCTGCCCCACTCAGCTAATTTTTCTATTTTTAATAGAGACGGGGTTTCACTGTGTTGGTCAGGCTAGTCCAAACTCCTGACCTGATAATCTGCCTACCTCAGGCTCCCAAAGTGCTGGGATCACAGGCAGGAGCCACCACGCCCGGCCCTGAGTATGTATTTTTCTCTGTGAGTGCTACAGAGGCTTTGTGAGGTGGTTCACTTTGAACTCAGAACCTCCATCTTGTGATCTTTCTGAAGATGGGCTTTCTTTGGGGGAGCTTAGAGGCCACTGCATTTGAACAGTGTGTTCTCTACAGAAGCAGCTGAGGCCTGTGGGAAGGCAGCCCCACTCTCCTTTTTTAATTAATTTTTGAGACTCTGTTGCCCAGGCTGGAGTGTGGTGGCATGATCTCGGCTCACTGCAACCTCTGCCTCCCAGCCTTGAGTGATCCTCCCAATTCAGCCTCCCTAGTAGCTGGGACTACAGGCATGCACCACCACGCCCAGCTAATTTTTTTTTTTTTTTTTTTTTTTTTTTTTTGAGACGGAGTTTTCGCTCTTGTTACCCAGGCTGGAGTGCAATGGCGCGATCTCGGCTCACTGCAACCTCCGCCTCCTGGGCTCAGGCAATTCTCCTGCCTCAGCCTCCTGAGTAGCTGGGATTACAGGCACGTGCCACCATGCCCAGCTAATTTTTTGTATCTTTAGTAGAGACGGGGTTTCACCATGTTGACCAGGATGGTCTCGATCTCTTGACCTCGTGATCCACCCGCCTCAGCCTCCCAAAGTGCTGGGATTACAGGCTTGAGCGACCGCGCCCGGCGCCCAGCTAATTTTTTATTAACATCTTTGTAGGGACAGGGTTTTGCCATATTGCCCAGGCAGGTCTCAGACTCCTGGGCTGAAGGGTTCCAGGGGAGCCTCCCAAAGTGCTGTGGTTACAGACATGAGCTACCATACCTGGCCCTTTTTAAATTCATCTTCCATGAGCTAACACTCTCTTTCCCTTTCTAGATTGATTGGGGCGACTTTGGGGTAGAGGCAATGTCTGAGGGGACTGACTCTGGCATCTCTGCTGAGGCTCATAGAATTGACTGGGGCGTCATCCTGGAATCACTCTCAAAGGTGAGGAGGCCCTCTCAGTCCATCTCTCTGATCACTACTCTAACCATAAGAAAAGTGTCATTTCTGTCTGTAAAGGCATCACTTGAAGTTCATAGCCCTAAGACTGGGTAGAGTCCAAGGCAGAGTTTCACACGTCACATGTCAGAGTTTTGTTTTGTTTTGTTCTGTTTTGTTTTGTATTGTTTGAGACAGAGTCTCATTTTGTTGCCCAGGCTGGAGTGCAGTAGCACAATCTTGGCTCACTGCAACCTCTACCTCCTGGGTTCAAGCAGTTCTCCTGCCTCATCCTCCCGAATAGCTGAGATTATAGGCACCTGCCACCACGCCTCACTAATTTTTAATAGAGACAAGGTTTCACCATGTTGGCCATGCTGGTAATTCCTGACCTCAGGTGATCCACCCGTCTCGGCCTCCCAGAGTGCTGGGATTACAGACAGGTGTGAGCCACCTCGCCTGGCCCATGTCAGAGATAAGGTTTGATGTCTCTTTTCCTGGTGTTTGGTCCAGGGTGTGGGGGTATAGGCAGGTGGGAACACTACAGAGCAGGGATGAGGTTGGCCATATAAATGGGCCATACTGCTGTCTGCCAGCTAAGTCAGGGCTGCAAGTCCTTAATAGAGTTGGAATGTGTAGCCGTTGACCTCATCAAAGGCTTTGGTTTATTCCGACTCCTTGGCTTAGGAAAATTCTCCCACCATTGCTAGAGTTCTTTGCTCTCCTTCCAGGACCCTGGAAGTGATGGGATAGACTGGGAAGATGATTTGCCGATGGCAGTGCTGGAAGCAGGAACTCAGGGTAAGTGCACCATCCCCTGCAGCCCTGGCAAAAGTGGGGTGCTCAAGGGTCCCCACTTGTATAGAAACAGAAAAAATGCAGCGCTAAGATGAGGCTTCTCATACATTTAACTGTTTCTCAAAACCTTGATGAGGATGTGAGTGGAGGGGGACCAAGAGAGGTTGTTGGTTTTTTTTGAGACGGAGTTTCGCTCTTGTTGTCCAGGCTGGAGTGCAGTGGCACCATCTTGGTTCACTGCAAACTCTGCCTCCTGGGTTCAAGTGATTCTCCTGCACCTGGCCCAAGAGAGGTTTTTAGAATTAGAGGTCGGGCATGGTGGCTTACACCTGTAATCCCAGCACTTTGGGAAGCTGAGGCGGGCAGATCACCTGAGGTGAGGAGTTCAAGACCAGCCTGACCAACATGGAGAAACCTCGTCTCTACAAAAAACACAAAATTAGCTGGGCGTGGTGGCACATGCCTGTAATCCCAGCTGCTTGAAAGGCTGAAGCAGGAGAATCATTTGAACCTGGGAGGCAGAGCTGCGGTAAGCTGAGATCGTGCCACTGCACTCTAATCTGGGCAACAAAAGCGAAACTCCGCCTCAAAAACAAAATTAGTTTAGAAACTCTGAACTTTTTTTCTTTTCTTTTTTTTTTTTTTTTTTTTTTTGAGAGCAAGTCTTGTTCATTCACCAGACTGGAGTGCAATGGCACGATCTTGGCTCACTGCAACCTCCGTCTCTCAGATTCAAGCAATTCCCCTGCCTCAGCCTCCTAAGTAGCTGGGGCTACAGGCGCGTGCCACCACACCTGGCCAATATTTTGTGTTTTAGTAGAGACGGGGTTTCACCATAGCCAGGATGGTCTCGATCTCCTGACCTCATGATCTGCCTGCCTTGGCCTCCCAAAGTGCTGGGATTACAGGCGTGAGCCACCATGCCCGGCCTGAAACTCTCAACTTTTTAGAGACCAAATGTGGGCCAGCTGTTATGGCAGGAGGGTTCCAGGGGAGTCAGGGGGCCCTAGAGTGTGACATGACCCCTGCCCTAGCAGCAGAGAAGATGTAGTGGTGTCTAAGCCACTAGAGGGCGGTGCAGGATGAAACTTTACCTCCCACCTTCCATCAGAGCAGAAAGCAGTCCTTTCCACCCCTCTGAACCCAGCTTTGGTCCTCCTCTCAAGCTGGGGGTTGGAAAGTGTTGCCTGGTTAGAGCTGAGACACCTGGGAAAAGGTAACCTTCCCCCTTGGATTTGAACAGGAAGTGGCTTTAGCACAATGAGTCTGTCCATATTAATCCTCCAGGGCTTCTCCAACTTGAGGGTCTTTTCCTTCTCCAGTCCTCTGATCCTTTATCACTTCTGTGTCTCTCTCTTCCTGGCAGCTCCAGAAGGTGTTGCCAGGGGCCCAGATGCTCTGACACTTCTTGAATACACCGAGACCCGGAATCAGTTCCTCGATGAGCTAATGGAGGTACTGTCATCCCTGGGAGATGAAGAGGGAGGCATGGCGCCAGCACAGGAGGCCTGACTCTGGATGCCTGACCTGGCCCTTCCTGTTTGTGTGAAGGACATAAGTGCTTTCTGTGTCCTGCAGCAGGAACCTCACATATTAGATGCCACCCATTCATCCAGTTACTTATCAGGTACCTTCTAGGCACCTGGCACAGTCTTAGGCACCAGAACTTGGGCAGTGAACAAGATAGTCAAAGTCCTTGACCTCATGGAGCTTATATTCTTTTTTTTTTTTTTTTGAGATGGAATTTCGCTCTTGTTACCCACGCTGGAGTACAATGGCAGGATCTCCGGTCACCGCAACCTCCGCCTCCTGGGTTCAGGCAATTCTGCTGCCTCAGCCTCCTGAGTAGCTGGGATTACAGGCACGCGCCACCATGCCCAGCTAATTTTTTGTATTTTTAGTAGAGACGGGGTTTCGCCATGTTTTTTTTTTTTTTTTTGAGACGGAGTTTCGCTCTTGTTACCCAGGCTGGAGTGCAACGGCACGATCTCGGCTCACCGCAACCTCCACCTCCTGGGTTCAGGCAATTCTCCTACCTCAGCCTCCTGAGTAGCTGGGATTACAGGCACGCGCCACCATGCCCAGCTAATTTTTTATATTTTTAGTAGAGACAGGGTTTCACCATGTTGACCAGGATGGTCTCGATCTCTTGACCTCGTGATCCACCCGCCTCGGCCTCCCAAAGTGCTGGGATTACAGGCGTGAGCCACTGCGCCTGGCCCCCATATTATTATTATTTTTTCTCAAATGCTTTGGGGGAGGAGCTTATATTCTAATGGGGAAGGCAGACTGGAAAATAAGATAAATAGTAAAATGTGCAGGATGCTAGATGGCACTAAGTGCCACAGAGAAAAAGAAAGCGGGGAAGATGATGGGAATGTCAGGAAGCCCTGTGGTTTTGTAAATGGTAGTCAGGGAATGCCTTGTTGAGAAGGTAACCTATAATCAAGACTATAGGTGATGCAGAGAAAACCATGCCGATGTCTGGCAGAAGGGCTTCCCAGAGAGCAACTGCAGAGGTCCCAAGGTGGGAGCAGGCCTTTCACAGCTGACCAGCAACATGGAGGCCGGTGTGGCTGAGGAGAGGGAGCCAGTGGGGAGTAGAAGAAGAGCTCAGAGACATAGCGTCTGAACTTTGGTTTGCCTCTGAGGGAACTGGGAAGCTGTTGAAGGTTTCAAGCAGGTTAGGAACATGATCTCATTTGTGTTTAAGCACAACCCCTGTGGCTAAGGGGTTGAGCAGCCCAGCGTAAGGAGCCAGCGTTCTTGGACCTTTGTTGTGGGGCTGAGAGGATAGGGTCCTGTCTTTATTAATCTCTAGATCTGCTCCCTTCCCAGTAGCCTGCTGGTTCGGAGAGCCACTGAAAGTTCTGTCCTTACCCAATTCTCTCCTCTTTCTGCCCAGAGGCTTCTCCTGGCCTCAAGGGGAGAGGAGGACAAAAGACATCTGTCAAGTTTTTATGGCAGAATAGGATTGATAAGATAATATGGCTGGCTCTTGTGTTATTTTCAGTCTTGCCTTAATCCACTGCTTCTCAAACATGTATTTCTGTTCCCTGAATCTCATTCCTCCCATGAAGACAAAATAAATACTTACCCTGGGCAGAGAGAACTCTTTGAGTCTCTGTATTAGTTATCTAATCCAGGCTGGGGAGAAAGAGTTAGGCTGGGATAGCAGTGGGGGGCTGAAGGGTGACAGTAGTCTGCTCTGAGTGCTTACAGTGTTCAGAGGAAATAACCCCTCCTTACCCAGAGTTTAGCCCTCACATCTCATTTTTGCATTTCTAAGTCTGAGGGCTTAGATTCTGAGTTCTTCTCTCAGTTTGAACCAGTTTATCTTCTTTTTTTTCCTTTTTCTTTTTTTTTTTTTTTTTTTTTTTTTTTTGGTTAAAAAAAAAGAGAGTTTCTCTATCGCCCAGTCTGGAGTGCAGTGGGGCGATCATAGCTCACTATAACCCTGAACTCCTGGGCTCAAGTGATCGTCCCACCTCAGCCTCCTGAGTAGCTGGGACTACAGGCGTGCACCACCATGCTTGGCTAATTTTTAAAGTTTTTGTAGAGACAGGGTCTCACTATTTCCCAGGCTGGTCTTTTTTTTTTTTTTTTTTTTGTTTTGTTTTGTTTTGTTTTAACACGGAGTTTCGCTCTTGTTACCCAGGTTGGAATGCAATGGCGCGATCTCGGCTCACCGCAACCTCGGCCTCCTGGGTTCAGGCAATTCTCCTGCCTCAGCCTCCTGAGCAGCTGGGATTACAGGCACGTGCCACCATGCCCAGCTAATTTTTTGTATTTTTAGTAGAGACGGGGTTTCACCATGTTGACCAGGATGGTCTCGATCTCTCGACCTCGTGATCCGCCCGCCTCGGCCTCCCAAAGTGCTGGGATTACAGGCTTGAGCCACCGCGCCCGGCCTCTTTTTTTTTTTTTTTTTGAGACAGAGTTTTGCTCTTGTTACCCAGGTTGGAGTGCAATGGCGTGATCTCGGCTCACCGCAACCTCCGCCTCCTGGGTTCAGGCAATTCTCCTGCCTCAGCCTCCGGAGTAGCTGGGATTACAGGCACGCGCCACCATGCCCAGCTGATTTTTTGCACCTTTAGTAGAGACGGTGTTTCACCATGTTGACCAGGATGGTCTCCATCTCTTGACCTCGTGATCCACCCGCCTCGGCCTCCCAAAGTGCTGGGATTACAGGCTTGAGCCACCGCGCCCGGCCTTCCCAGGCTGGTCTTAAACTCCTGGACTCAAGTGATCCTACCTCGGCCTCCCCAAATGCTAGAATTGCAAGTGTGAGTCATCATGTCCAGCATGAACCAATATTTCTTCTGTTCTCAGCTTGAGATCTTCTTATGCCAGAGAATAGTAGAGTTGAGTGAGGAGGCAGACGTCCTGTCTGTGAGCCAGTTCCAGCTGGCTCCAGCCATCCTGCAGGGCCAAAGCAAAGAGAAGATGGTTGCTATGGTGTCAGTGCTGGAGGATCTGATTGGCCAGCTCATCAATCTTCGACTGCAACACCTGTTTATGATCCTGGACTCACCAAGGTCTGGCTTCCCCTTGACGCAAGCCTCTGCCATGTCGAGCAGCTCTGCCTCCTTGTATTCCTCCTCTTGTTCCATGACTCCTTAGTTCCCATCCCTGCCTCCTGGCCATTGCCATCCACTGGGGATAGGGGTTCTCTTTGGGGTAGGAGGGGGTGGTTTGATATATACAGGAAGAATCTGCTTACTTCCTGAGTAGGACACAGGAATTGGGAGTGGATATTCCTTACAAGGAAAGGGTTTAAGGGTGTGCCAATTGGGGGTTTGGTTTCCCAAGCCTCTCACCTCCCCAGCAGCTGAATGGGAATGCTCAGGGTACACAGCTATCCCAGCACTCATCTGAGTGCCACGCACAGGTATGTGGACCGAGTGACTGAATTCCTCCAGCAAAAGCTGAAGCAGTCCCAGCTACTGGCTTTGAAGAAAGAGCTGATGGTGCAGAAGCAGCAGGAGGCACTTGAGGAGCAGGCGGCCCTGGAGCCTAAGCTAGACCTGCTGCTGGAGAAGACCAAGGAGCTACAGAAGCTGGTGAGACAAGAAAGAGAAACCTGCCACCGGGAGGACTGGAATACCCACTCCCAGTTCCCCTGTCCTACTCAGGAAGCAAGCAGATTCTTCCTGTATGCATCCCAGTCTGTGCAGGGCAAGGCCTGAGCTCCCCTTCTTCCACCCACTTGGTATTGCTCTTTCAGATTGAAGCTGACATCTCCAAGAGGTACGGCAGGCGCCCTGTGAACCTGATGGGAACCTCTCTGTGAAACCGTCCATGTTCTTGCCTGCCCATCTTCTCAGCCTTTGGGATGAAGATGATAGCCAAGGCTGATGTTTTGGGGCCCTTCAAGGCAAAAGACCAGGCTGACTGGAGGATGGAAAGCCACAGGAAGGAAGCGACACCCGATGGTGATCTTGGTACTCTCCATGCTCTCTATAAGAAGCTGTCGTGATTGGCCCTGTGACCTATTAGGTGAAAACCACAGCTTCTCCTTCTAGTTAGTGTAGTGAACTTAATAAAAGAGGAAAAAACTCTTGCTTCGGTACTGATAGTTTCTGATGCTGCTGCTTTGAGCCTGCAGTTGAGGTTCCGCACCTGTTTTCATGGAGTTCTTGATCCAGGTGGGCTACCCAAGCCACCAGCTCTCACTGTGGAGCCCCAAGTTGAGGACTTTCCCTCTGCTTCTGGTGATAAGGAGGACCCCAGATGTACAGATGGTTCAGCAAGGGGCTCGGGGATGGCTGTGCGTGGGCTCCTTTCCATAACCAGACTCAGGCCAGAAGCTAGAGGGGAGCAGTCAGGCAGCAGCCTTGTTGGAGCCAGCAAAGCCGTATTTTCCTTTTAATCACAGCTTACCTCCAGGCAGAGGGAAAATGCGGTTTGGGGAGGAAGGGTCTGATAAACAAGGTGGAGACAGGAGCTGTCACCTTCCCTGGCTGCCTGTCCACTTCCTGCCCATAACTGCCCGCTCTGTGATCGGATAGAGCCCACCCCAGGATAGCATCCCTCTCCCAAGCCACCTACCCATCCCCATTTCCCAGGAAGGGTAGGGGTTGAGGGTGGCCGGCAATTCGATTTTAATTTCATAGCAGAGCAGTTGATTCATGGCTCTTTGTCGCTGGCGTTGACTCCCGTAATGACTTTCCATCAAAATGAAAAGTGGAGTGACACCACTCATTATTCCTGCTGCTTGTTATCTCAGTTCTGGGGAGGGCCGCCCCCTCCCTGCTGCCTTTCAGCCGTCCTGGACAGTGAGTGATGGCCCCTATTAATCACCGACCCCGCGGACTTCAGCAGACACACGCTATCCAAAGGAGAGAGAGATAAGGCAGCATGAACTGTTGGAAGCCGTTCCTATCAATTAATGTCAACCCACCACTTCTCCCCAATCTTTGCCTGGTCACCTCCTTTTGGGGGATCAGGAGCTGAAACAAGTCCAGGAACTGGAAAAGGAAAAATATTGGTGTTGAACATGGAGGTAAGACTCCGCAGACTAGCAGGGCATAGAGGAGCTGAGTGGACTGCACTCCGCCGTCGGCGCTGAGGAGGGAGGCTCTTGGCCTAGGGAACTGCCTGCTGCTCTTGGTCCCTCTCCCTCTGGGAGAATGCCTGCTAGCTCCTACCCCGCTTGTTCAGCTGCTGGCTCCGTTGGCTGTCTGGCCGGCCTCTTGCAGTAGCCGTCAGTTCACTGAGGCATGCTACCCTTGCCCATTCTAACATCCCTTGCCCAGTCACCAGCTATTATTCAGACTCCATCACTTACAAGAATGGAGCTTTAGGGAGAAGCCCTATGGATCAGGTGACAATGGCCCAGGCCTGATTCAGCCCTCCAAAGCTCCTGCCCTTGCCCTTGCAGATGAGCACCTGACCTGCTTTCCCTGCCCCACCTAAGGTCATCGAGGGGAAGTAGTACTCACTGAGGTTTGGCCATTTTCCCAGGAAGGGAAGTGGGTTAGTGTTTTCTCAGCCGATTTTGGCCCCTTTGGTAAGCAGTGTGTTTAGGCGACTGTTCTGGCTCACAGATACTAGGTTACTGCTTAACAGGTGACATCAGGGCCCACCCTGATGATCCCTAGGCTGAGGCAAGTGGTTTCATAAAAGCCTTAAACAGGATAACATTGGATTTGTTCTCCAGAACCTTCAGCCTCTCTTTCCTTTTCTCCCCGCCTGCTTCCTGGGTCCAACGGGACCTTGGCCAGGCTGAAGACACTGATGGGACCACCTGGCTGCTTCTCCCTGAGTAAGGGCAGCTCTGTGTCTTCCAAGTCTGCTTCTGACTTTCCTGAGCTTTCACTGGTTGCATTTGGGTTCCTTCCTGTATTTCACAGAATGGCCTCAGAAGTCGTTGTAGGAACAGAATGAGTTAAGACATGCAGAGCTCTTAGAATGCTGCCTGGTACGGAGGAGGCACTTGCTGGACATGTGTGAGCTCTTATTTTTGTCTTGGGAGACCATGATGAGGACTCTCCATCCTGGCCTAACTTGCCTTCTTGGAAGGGAGAGGTGAGGGGCTTTAGGGAACCTTGAGACCAAGTTTCAAGCAGTCAGGTTTCCAGGGTTGCTAAAAAAAAGTTCAGGGAAAGAGGGAGGCGGTGCATTGAGATTACACCCTCAGAATCCTTAGTTTGATGTGAATTATGCTGCCAAGAGCACACTATACTTCTGTGTTGACTTTTATCCCACCTCTTTCCAGAAAGGATTTAAGGCAACGCCTCTCACTACTTGGCTAAGACTCCTCACCAGGCTCTAGATAAGGAAGCAGTGAGTCGCTTTTCCAAAATTCTCTGCTGGCTAAATCTAGCCACCGCTCAGCCCCACTCACTGCCTATCTGCCCAGACACTGCCTCTTTTCCCTGCATCACCTCTGCCCTGTCCTCTCCAGTGTGGTTCTCTTTATAGACTCCAAAAGTAGGATCCCTTTGCTCTGCAGCCTGCAGTGGCTGACTGTGAACATGGGATAAGTGGAGTGCTAAGGCTCGTTTATCTGGGTCTCAGCAGTCCACCCCCTGTACCCCTCTCAGGGCCTGCCGGGATCATGGGGAGTCTGGCACATCTAGAACTCCTTTCCCATTGCGAGTTCAGAGCAGGGAACAAGCAGCATCATTCAGAGTGAACATCTCACCCAACTAAAGAATTAACCTGCTCTGTGGATCCGACTCATGGAACCAAAAAAAAAAAAAAAAGAATTAACTTGTTCTGGAGAGTTGAGGACAAAAGAAAGGCACATCCCCAGACTTGCTGGAGCCAACCTTGCTGGAGCTCCTCACATGCACCATCTAACCACCATTAATTCCCCAGATGTTGCATGCAGTTTCTCCCCAGAAACCTAGGTCCTGTGGCTCTTCTCTGCCTTTTCATACACTCCTACCCATCCTGTTAATGATTTTTATTTCATCTTTTTTTAAAACTTACTATTTTTTTTGAGACAGAGTTTCACACATCGCCCAGGCTGGAGTACAATGGGGCAATCTCGACTCACTGCAACCTCTGCCTCCCAGGTTCAATTGATTCTCCTGCCTCAGCCTCCCAAGTAACTGGGACTACAGGTATAGTAGAGATGGGGTTTCACCATGTTGGCCCGGCTAGTCAAGAACTCCTGACCTCAGGTGATCCACCTGCCTCAACCTCCCAGAGTGCTCGTATTACAGGCATGAGCCACCATACCTGGCCTAAACTTATTTTTTAAATAGAGACAGGGTATCACTATGTTGCGTAGGCTGATCTCAAACTCCTGGCCTCAAGCGATCATCCTGCCTCAGCCTCCCAAAGGGCTGGGATTACAGGTGTGAGCCACCTCGCCAGGTCTATTTACTCTAATTGCCATTTGTTTAATCTCTTTCCTAACTCCTGTACATGCACATACAAAATCTAATAAAAGTAATTGGAAGGGCTGGGTGCGGTGGCTCACTACTGTAATCCTAGCACTTTGGGAGGCCGAGGCAGGCAGATCACAAGGACAAGAGATCAAGACCATCCTGGCCAACATGGTGAAACCCCATCTCTACTAAAAATACAAAAATTAGCCAGATGTGGTGACATATGCCTGTAATCCCAGCTACTCAGGAGGCTGAGGCAGGAGAATCACTTGAACCTGGGAGGTGGAGGTTGTAGTGAGCCGAGATTGTGTCACTGCACTCCAGCCTAGTGACAGAGTAAGACTCCGTCTCAAAAAAAAAGGCCAGGCGCGGTGGCTCAAGCCTGTAATCCCAGCACTTTGGGAGGTCGAGGCAGGTGGATCACGAGGTCAAGAGATCGAGACCATCCTGGTCAACATGGTGAAATCCCGTCTCTACTAAAAATACAAAAAATTAGCTGGGCATGGTGGCGCGTGCCTGTAATCCCAGCTACTCAGGAGGCTGAGGCAGGAGAATTGCTTGAACCTGGAGGCGGAGGTTGCAGTGAGCCGAGATCATGCCACTGGATTCCATCCTGGGCAATAGAGCAGTACTCCATCTCAAAAAAAAAAAAGAAATTTGTGTTCTGCTCCCCCATAATCCAACATGTCCAAATCAAAGCCATTATTGTTTACACCCACACTGCATCTCTCTCTTATTTCCTGAGATTTCATCAGTGGTGTCCCAGGCTCTGCTGGCTGCTTTCTCTAATCCACCCTTTCTGTGTTGTTCTGGACCTTTTCACCCTAGTCATTTCCCTGCTTAGAAACTCCGAGGCTCTGTAGTGACCCAAATTCCTAGAGTAGCAGCTGCCAAGCCCTGCATGATTGGACATTTCAGCCTGGGCTACCCACCCAAGATACCAAATCCATATGTGTCCTCAAGGCCTCACTCTTAATTCAGCTCCCTTCAAACCATCTTGACTCCCTACTCAGATGAGGCCCAAACACATCTCTGTGGACATCTCCAGTTGCCCCTGGAGAATTAGTCACTCCCTCAGCAGCATCCTGCAGCCCTGTGCAGGTGTCCTTAGGGGAGCTCTTATTGATGCTGTTACTTGCCTTCCTGAAATGCCTGCCCACTGAGCTGCTTGAGGTCAGGGATAGTGTCTCGCCCACATTTCTGTCTCTCTTGGAGTATCAAACTTTAACTTCTCTGAACTTCAATTGTTTTAATGCTCTCTAAAATAACTTTGACCTCTGACATAGTATGATTATGTGGCTTACAAGTTAACACAAAGGAAGAGTCCCATGAAGTACTAGAAGTTTGGGAAGATAATTAAGGTTAAGTCAGCTTTTTTTTTTTTTTTTTTTTTTTTTTTTTTTTTTTTTTTTTTTTGAGATGGAGTTTCGCTCTTGTTACCCAGGCTGGAGGGCAATGGCGCGATCTCGGCTCACCGCAACCTCCGCCTCCTGGGTTCAGGCAATTCTCCTGCCTCAGCCTCCTGAGTAGCTGGGATTACAGGCACGTGCCACCATGCCCAGCTAATTTTTTGTATTTTTAGTAGAGACGGGGTTTCACCATGTTGACCAGGATGGTCTCGATCTCTTGACCTCGTGATCCACCCGCCTCGGCCTCCCAAAGTGCTGGGATTACAGGCTTGAGCCACCACGCCCAGCCAAGTCAGCTTTTTAAATGGACTGATGG